GAGGGGAAGCAGGGTGGGAGTGGGACGACACCGTGTCCTGGGCTATCACCCCCTCATCGTTGCCTAGTCTGGTGGCCAACGGTTGGGGCTGAGGAGGTGGAGTGACGTTCCCCCTAGTCCTTGGCAAGATTGCGCTGAGGACGGTGGGGTTCTGAGCCAAACTGGCGATGATGACCGACAGCGCGGCTTGACCTGTGGATCAACAGACGGAGAAACCGCGGCCATAGGCTGGGCCGGGGCGTGGTCTGTCTTCTCTGCGCGCTTCTTGTCCAGGCCGATGCGGGTATCGGGGGCGCCGCCGTTGAGTTGGTTGCGTAGGTCCGTCGTAAGGTTGATGGCCTCCTGGAAGACGTCCCCTCATCCAACCTGGTCGGCCGTGGCGTCCTCCTCACGCTCCCTGGTCTGCTGATCCTCAGGGATGGCCTTGCTGACGAGGTTGCGATTTGACTTGGTTCTTCCCATGATCAGTGGTTAGCTGTGCTTGGTAGCGACGAAGGGTGCTAACTTGATTGTTCTAGCTCTCAACGAGAGCACCAAATGATAGAGTATATATCTAGAGAGAAGTGAGAGCTAGAGAGAGAAGTGCAAGTAAATGCTTCAATAGAATGATTTTGTAACCCCTACAACTACCTCTAGAGGAAGTATTTATAGGAAAAATACGGGCTGGGCTCCCAAGCCTTGGACTTGGGAGGCCCATTTACAATTGGACCGCTATTGGGCCGAATACAATGTGTGTAGAAATGATTAAGTGTAAAATCTAGTTCTGTGAAGCTTCCATGGCCGATGAGGGCACGGCCGATGAGGACACCCTGGTTCCCTGGCTTCAGGATCATATTCTGAGTTGGTCTCTCTTCGGCCGACGGGGGTCCTTTGGCCGACGAGGGCACTGCCTAGTGGCTTGTACTTTCTGTTCTTCTGAGTATGTGGGTCCTGGGGCCTAGACCCATATACTCCATCATTTATTTTTCAATTTTTTTGTGTAAATTTTTCCAGTTTTCTTATTTAGCCCACCTAATTAACATTTAAGCCTAATATAAATACTTTTCAGTCTAGCCCAGGCCAGATTTCTGGATCAGCCCCTGATATGAAAGCATGTAAGATAGTTACTTATCTTATCAGAATACTTTGATGAAATATGAAACTTTTTGGCAAATGTTATAAATTTTTTAATACGACACCTGTACTGCACTTGAGATCGATTATGCTCCTAAAGCATATAATCATTCTTCAAAATAATTTTAATTTCACAAAATATATCGTGGGATCGACACATCATGCGCAGCATAATGTGTGAATCGCGTTAATCCTTTATTTCCCTGCACGTATGCATATCATTTCCTTTTCTCTATGTTTTTTATTTTCCTTTTCTATACTCTTTTTTATTCTCCATCAAATACAAAAAAATGTAATTACAATTTTACTTTTCTTTCTTTAATTTAAATTACAACTCAATCTATTTTTTTATTCTTTATTAATTCATAACAAAAAAAATATTAATCTAAATAAAATAAGTATATTACATATCACATTCATACCCTATTTTTATTTCTGTAATTTTTTTGTATTATACACTTTTTTTGTAATATAAGTATATTACATTTCACATTCATACACTATTTTTATTTATGCAATTTTTTTTGTTTTATACACGTTTTTGTACTATATATTTTCATATCCATACCCTTTTTCCTATAATATATTACTTAGCTCTTTAATATATTATTAGTGTTTTTAAGACATTAAATTTGGTTATTTCGGTTTACATTTGATAAAATATGAGATTACATCTTCATATGTGTGGTCTACATTTCCACACATGTGAATTATGTTTATAGACAATTTTGTAGTTACATTTGATAGTATATGAAGTTGCATCTTCTTGTGTACGAATTACATCTTTTTATGCGTGAGTTACATCTTACTATGCGCGAATTACATTTGGATTTGCCTTAAAAAGTTACATTTGGCATACATTTAAGTTAGATTTTTCATCAACGCGAGTCACATTTTTCATATATAACACGAGTTACATCACAAAATATACCCATGCTATTGAAAAAAAAACATTTTTTTTGCAAGAAAATGATTTTTTTGGAAAAATAAAATATTTCTCTAAAACTTTTTTCTGGCTTTAATATTGAAAACAAAACATATTAACTATTTACGTAAATTAGTTGAACAATTAAACTCCTTGTTTTCATTGTTTAAATGTGATAATATATGAAGTTACATCTTCTTATTCGCGAGTTACACCTTTTTATGTGAGTTACATTTTTCTATGTGCGAGTTACATTTGTACTTGTATCAACAAGTTACATTTTGCATATACATAAGTTAGACTTTGCATCAACACGATTTACATTTTTCATAACACGAGTTGCATCTCAAAATAAACTCTACTGAAACAAAAAAATGGTAAAAAATTATTTAAAAAAATTGGCCTTAATTTAAAAAAAAAAAATCACTATTTACGTAAAGTAATTGAGCAATTAGACTCTTTGTTTTCATTGATTACAGTGAATTGAAATTAATGTTTTATTTCTTATACTCTATTAGGCAATTTACATTTCAACTTGCATGTAATTACATTTCTTATCAATGCGATTTACATTTATTTACGCGCGAATTATATAATTCTCCTAGTGGAACAAGGAAAAAACAAAATAAAGTTATTTTTCACACAGTATATTGTTCGCGCATGTTTTGGGCTGTGTGAGTAGCATGGTGACTGTGAGCTGCTTCCACACTATATGAATTGGTTTAATTTGGTTCAGGAAAACATAGGTGGGGTAACTTATTATTGGTAGGGTCCTGGTTGAGGGAATGAGGGCCATGCAATTTCCCTATTTCTCCTACATTTCACTTTCTAATTTCTCCATCTCCACATGATGTGTTCTTTTCTCCTAAATACTAATGCATTTTTTGTACTCCTTATTCTATATTAATTTGACAAATTGAGGTGATAAGCTGATTGATAGCAACTAAATTAAAACCTAGTAAACCAGTTGATATAATTATTAAGGCCCTCTTGGATTAAGACAAAAGTTAGTCAGTTGATGTAATTCTTTTCAAATAATTTTAGTTTTGCAAGGAAATTTTAATATCCACGTTAACGTTATGTAAGCATACCCTTTGTAGTATTTTTTCCCTCCAAAGTTCTCAAAAGTAATTTTCAAAACTCATTGAGAAATTTATATAGTTTTCAGTTATACGGAGTATATGAAAACAGAACTTTTTGGTTAGTTTGGCGTTGATAATACCGTGAGTAAGTTGTACTTCACAGGTTGTTTTTGTATCTATTGACCCATAAAAGTATTTTCATATACTTGTAGTTTTGGTTTATTTTGAATAAGTTCAGTCAACTCAATAAATTTTGTGCAGGTGGGATCTATTTCCTAAAAAAAGGATGACACCCCATCCCTGAGGGCCTCAACCCCGAACGGACGGTATCTTGGGAAGATGTAAATTAGATTATAATCTCAATCTATAAAGAGTGAGGCTCTCTGTCCGCGATACTTGCAAAGACTCTATGCATATTTTGGCATAGTAACCTCTCATCGCAGTTGTCAGGATTCGAACTCGAGACCTAACCCTTGTGGTACTCCCTCGCTACCGATTGAGCTACGCACACCCGTAGGTGGGATCTATTTCCTTTTCTAGAGAGGAGCTTAGTTTTGGTTCTGCCAACTGTGACATCTACAGATTCAATCATCAAATTATAAATTTGTACTATGCATATTGATAATAGTGTAATTGTACTATATATATATATATATATATATATATATATATATATATATATATATATATATCTTAAAATAATTGTAATGATATGTCTATCAAGCTCATAATTGATGAGCTTAGTTCATTCATGGACCATAAGGAACATGCGAGGTCATACAACATACTGGATCTGTTTTGTGCATTTGAAAGCACAATAAAGCTTTCAAGAGGATGCGTTGAATTGCATTGGATTTAGGAAAATCGAATTTGACTTGTTTAATTAGTACCTAATAATGTTATCTCTTTGGTGGCATCTTAATTAGTATAGTACCTAAAGTTTAATTGGATTTGGTTGCGCATCCAACGTAGGAATGCGAAAAGAACATTAGCAATAATAAGAAAAGTTTAGATAGATGCTCAATTAATGTGTGTCCATGTACGTGGCGCTATAACACGACAACGTTGTGAGAATAACATTCTTATTTGCATGTTCATTCTCTTCCTTTCTTCAAAAATTCCTTTTCTACACTTCTTATACACATCAGTACATCCCGTGTCTGTGAGAGTTTTTTTTGTCTGTGAATCTTAATCCACAAACAAAAACAGGCTTGTTTTGTTTGTAGAATTTTTCACAGACAAAACAAGCCTGTTTTTGTCTGTGGACTGGGATTCATAGATAAAAAAAACTCTCACAGACACGAGGGTGTACTGATATGTATAAGAAGGTGTATAAGAAGAATTGTCGCCGTTTATTGGTCATCCCTATTTCATATATGCTATACAACTGTTGAGCATTTTATCGTATTTACTACGGACAAATTTTTAAGAAAAATTTGACAATAATAACCCCATCCTTTATTATCGTTTTTCCCACAATAACCCTACTTTTAGCGCCTTTTGTTGGTCCACGAACAGTTGCTAATTTGCTATTCCAGGTCTTTTTACAATTTCTCGAAAAGATATTAAACAAATAATTCACATTTACTGATATTTTCAAAACAGTCTCGTGTATCTTCTATCTAGTCATGGACTCGGGCCGGGTCGGGCCCGGATCGGGACTAGGCCCGGTCGGGCCGCCGGTTTGTATCACATGAGCCCAGGACCGGCCCGAGGGTTGGACGGGTCCGGTTCGGGCCGGGCCACCCGCCCGGGTCACGGGTCGAGCCGGTTAAAGATTTTTTTTTTGTTTTTTAATTTATATTTTATACTTTATAGTTTTATACAAGTATTAAAAACAAACTTGAAGTTCGTTTATTTGAAATGAAATAGGAACTACATTTGAAAATTAAATAGGAACTACAATTGAGAATTGAAGGTAAAATTAAAACATGAAATACTAATCAATCATTTAATCGGAATCTCCGGCATAAGTAGAGCCACCGTCAATTATAGATTCATCCATAAAGTGTTGGGATGGGGTGATGTCAAGTTCTTGAGCTCTACGGGCTGCTTTCAACCAATCGTGGTAGCATATAAGCATCTCAAGAGATTCTGTGCTCAACCTCGTTCTAATTTGCGTTAGGACATTGCCGGCCGAACTAAATTCTTGTTCCACGGCAACCGTTGAAACCGGCATTGATAGCACTTACTTAGCCATCTTTGCTAAAACCGGGAACATTCTTTCTTTTCCCTTCCACCAGTTTAGTACGTGAAAATCATCATCTTCTTCAAAATCAGCATCATATGTTAAATACAAAGAAATCTCATTAATTGTGCTTTGTTGCGTAGCGGGAGTTGATTTCGTTTTTTTAATAAGATTGACAAATGTAGATTTGAAAATTGATTTTCCTTTAGATGATGTTTGTGTCGGGGGAGAGGGCGCATTGCCATATTGTGCATGAAACTCATTGAATAATGCATAAAATATATCACTAACCTCGTTGTATTTTTTTCGGATCAATTGGGTTGTCCTCATACATTGGCAATGGACCAAAAAAAGCAGCATAATAATAATTCAAACATTCTTCTAAAGAACCAAATCTAAAACGAGGATCGAGAACAAATGCAATACCATAAATATGCGGAATATGCGAATAATATTTTAAAAACTTTTCCTTCATAAAACTAGCAAAATAACTCACATAATCAGCATTCTCAAAATTTGAAAAAGCACCGGCGAGATTAACAGCTTCACGAATAAATTGGTTTGAGGTAGGTTTATAAACATGACTAAAAGTTTCAGTTGCATTATTAAAATCAACCATTCTTGATGTACACACTCTTGTACACACCTCATACACACCATGTTTGTGAAGCTTTTTTTTGTCTGTGAATCTAGTTCACAGACAATATTTTGTTTGTGCAAAACATTGTCTGTGAATCAATGTTCACAGACAAAAAAAAAGCTTTCACAGACATAGGTGTGTACAAAAGTGTGTATAAGAGTGTGTACAAACATCATTTTTGTATTAAAATATATCAAAGCATTACAAATTTTTTCACAGGTGTCGATCTCAGCCGAGTTTATAATATAGTTATCATATTGTTTCATAAAAGCAGGAAAATGTTGTTTATATCTAAGAAGAACTCCAACTAACTTATAGGTACTATTCCAACGAATAGACAAATCTTTAAGAAAAGCCACATATCTCTCACCTCTTTCTATCAAATAATCATGTCAATTTTTCCTAAGTTGTCCATTACCCCAAATACGTCTAATCCCCCCCTTGACTACCTCCAACGATGCTCCCAACGCTTTTAGACCATCTTGCACACATAAATTTAGAACATGACATGCACATCGTTGATGAAAAAATCTAACCATCAAAGAAGTACAACCACACAATTCACGCAATCTAGGAATAGCAGCAGTATTATTAGTAGCATTATCAAAACCAATATCAAACACCTTATCAATTAAATTATACTCAATTAAAATACGCTCAATCAAAATATAAATATGTTCAGCGATGTGACGATCATTAAATTCACGGAAAGCAAGAACACGTTTATGCATATGCCAATCATTATCAATATAATGTACAGTCAGATCCAAATAATATAAATTATGATAAGTATCCTCTCATATGTCAGAACATACAGTAACACGTCCATCAAAGTTTGCAAAATAAATTTGTAACCTTACCTTTTCCGCACCATAAAGCCTTGAAATTTCTTTCTTAACCGTTTTGCGACTATAACCTCTATATTGCGGATTTAAACAAGTTTGTGCATAATCACGAAAAGCAAGACTTTCAGAAAACAAATAAGGCAAATTTTCTTCAACAAGTAAGTTAGCCATACCAGTCAAATTTTGTGCATCATTGTATGAGAAATTACCAAAAGCTTGTTGGTTATTTGCAAACCTCGATATTTGAGTTTGTTTCCCCGTTCCGCCGCCTAATTTTGCATACTCCACCGGGTGTTTGGACTTAAGGTGTCTTGTGGCGGATCCGTATCCGCCGGAAATCCCCAAACTATAGTTTTTCTTGCACCAATTGCAAGTTGCGGTCCAATTCCCGGTGTTCGTGTCCTTCCACTTAGAAAAATTATTAGCCATTAGTTCAGATTTAATTTTTTTCGTACCTGTTTGGGATGAGGCAGGCTGGTCGGCGTCATGGCTGCCGCCACCCTCCTCCTCCTCCTCGTCGTGGCTCTCCGGAATTACTTCCTCCACATCGTCGTCCTTGTCCTCGAGCTCTTCTTCGTCAATGGTCCTCGGTTGGTATTGAAAAAAGCGGGAACTATGTCGGTGCAATTCTTGTTCTAGTTGTTCGTCGGTCATCGCATCCTCATCCCTCCTTGCGTAACCCGTATCAAAATCATCTCGACTTTGAGATGAAGAGCCGGTATGTGATATACCTTTGCGGGATGTCTTCCTCGCAAGCTCTTTCGTTCGGTTGCGCTCGAGGTTACCCATATCAACCGAATATCTAGGATGATCCATCTAAAAAATGTAGCAATTAATAAAAAACTAGTGAAATTAGTATTTTAAAGTTTACTTTAATCAAATTAACTAGTGAATTAACTACTTTTGTGTACAACCTATTTTTTTTTACTAACAATGAAATTAATACACTTTAACTTTAACTATAATGAGAATTAACTAGTTTTTTAAACTAGAGTCAAATGTAGCAATTAATAAAAAATTGTAAAAAAGTAATTAACTATTACTCGAACTATTAATTCGAGTTATAGCAAATTAGTATTTTAATGTTTACTTTAATCAAATTAACTAGTGAATTAACTACTTTCGTGTACAACCTATTTTTTTACTAACAATGAAATTAATACACTTTAACTTTAACTATAATAAGAATTAACTAGTTTTTTAAACTAGAGTCAAATGTAGCAATTAATAAAAAATTGTAAAAATGTAATTAACTATTAATCTAACTATTAATTCAAGTTATAGCAAATTAGTATTTTAAAGTTTACTTTAATCAAATTAACTAGTGAATTAACTACTTTTGTGTACAACCTATTTTTTTACTAACAATGAAATTAATACACTTTAACTAACTATAATTAGAATTACAACTAGTTTTTTGTACAACCTATTTTTTTTACTAATAATCAAATTATTATAGTTTAACTTTAACTATTATGAGAATTAACTAGTTTTTTTTCAAGTAACGTTAATACAAAATTAAACAAGTGTAAATAATAGAATAATTTTGTACCTCTTTCGGACTTTCGATCTTTCGGATGGGAGTAATAGAATGACTTCAAATGAATTAGATATAATTACAATTCCAACTATATTAATAGATATAATAAATGTATAAGTAATATATAATTAGATAACAAATCTAAGTAATATAATATTATAATGTATGTATTTACAAATTATAAGTAGATAATTAATATAAAGTAGATATATAAATAATAAATATAATATATTGGAGAATAAGAGAATAAGAGAGTAGAGAGTTAAGAATAGGATTTAGGAAGAATTGGAGAAGAGATATGAAAAAATGTTTAAGATTAGGAGTATTTATAGATTTTTTTACCCCCCTCCAGGCGGGCGTCCCCATATATAGATTAGGCATCCATCGCCTCGTCCTCATATTCGGACCGGCTCATCAGCGTCGTCGTCCTCACCTCCAGGCGGGCGTCCCCTCATCAGACGGACACCGCTTCAGCTCCACACCTAGGCCGAAGGGTTCACCCCTTGGAGTTCATTTTGGGGGATCCGGTGTGCTCTTTTTCCCTCATTAGAATTTTTTCCCACAGGGTTTTTCCTAGTGAGGTTTTTAATGAGGCATCGCCCCATTGTGGATAAAAAGGTGTCGACCCTCGGCCCCCTATCGAAGACGTGTATTGCTCTACTCTTCACCTCACTACATGAGCCTCGAGGAGTGGGGGACTGGGGGACTACATCGGCCTCCACATACATGAAATCATCCAGAAAGCAACAAAAAGCAAGGACTACCAAGTGGTACCTCCGTCGGCCATGTCTCCATCGGCCAGAAGAAGGTCTGGGGGACTACATCGGCCTCCAGCGTAAAGAAACAAATTCAAAATCCAACGAACACAAGCCCATGACAATGGCACCTCAACGTCCAACAATCATGTGTTCACCCTTCGGCCAGGCCGAAGCGCAAAGCAGGACACACATCGTCCTAAAGATCAAGGGCACGTGTCGTCCTCAAAGCCAAGGACACTCCTCGTCCTCAAGGCCAATGGCACGCATCGTCTCTGGGACTATGACATTCATCATCCATATCACGAACAAAACGAACGTGCCACGAATGTCCGCAAGCGTAAGAGGTCCATCAATTAAAGTCAAAAACACAAGGGCATGACATCCTTCGTCCACAGAGCCAAGGGCGCACAACGTCCTCTGGTCCAGGACCCTCATCGTCCTCAAGATGAAGGACATTCATCTTCCTCGAAACAAAGAACACTCATCGTTCTCAAACAAGAGATAACCACAATGGCTTCATCAGACCAAAAGGGAAGTTCAAACCATCAACGACCAAGGATAGACACTACCTTCGTCGGCCACTCATCGTCCTCAAACAAGCGCATCAAAGGAGTAACAGCCTTCCTCGTCCACATCAAGGAACGGGTAACGGCCACACTCAGAACAGGGCCACCAAACGCCACGACAGGGAACGGCTAACGTGGTCCCGCATCGGCCAAGAGCATCAAGCACAGAAATCTACTCTCCTTCACTTCGTCTACATCTCAGCTTAGAGAGTGGGGGACTCCTGATGGAGTATATGGGTCTAGGCCCCAGGACCCACATACTCAGAAGAACAGAAGGTACCATGATCACTGGGTGACCTCATCGGCCAGGAAAAGATCTATCCAGAATGTGATCCAGAAGCCCAGAGAACCGGGTGCCCTCATCGGCCATGCCCTCATCGGCCAGGAAAAGGTCTACTCAGAATATGATCCAGAAGCCCGGAGAACCGGGTGCCCTCATCAGCCATGCTCTCATCGGCCATGCCCTCATCGGCCAGGAAAAGGTCTACTCAGAATATGATCCAGAAGCTCGGAGAACCGGGTGCCCTCATCAGCCATGCTCTCATCGGCCATGCCCTCATCGGCCAGAAAGAAGGCCACCCAGAATATGATCCAGAAGCCCGGAGAACCGGGTGCCCTCATCGGCCATGCCCTCATCGGCCATGCCCTCATCGGCCATGCCCTCGTCGGCCACGGAAGTCTCACAGAACCGGATTTTACACTTATTCGTTTGTATAGCCCACCAGTGGCTTTGTATTCGGCCCAATAGCGGTCCAGTTGTAAATGGGCCTCCCAAGCCCAAGACTTGGGAGCCCAACCCGTATTTTCTCTATAAATACTCCCCTTGGGAGTAGTTGTAAGGGTTCACAAAATTCATTAATACAATCCACTTCTCTCTCTAGCTCTCCCTTCTCTCTAGAATCTAGGAGACATATACTCTATCAAGAATAATATAAAAGAAAATAAAAATTGAAAGTGATAAGTGATACCTATTCCATTATAAAAATAGAAAGTGAGTGCCCGAAAAATTCTTATAAATCCACCAAAGTGATTACCATAAAAATGAGAGTAATGTGTTTCAAACAAAAAAAATTAGACAGGGCTTTCCGGGTTGAAGATTGGCCATAGATTCGTTCAACAAATTGGCACCATTAAGATTAAAATCAACGGTATAAAATACAACATACGAAGTATTTACTTTCTGAAGGAAAAAACTTGCTTTCAATAAAAAAGGATCCCGTTAGAATGAGGATGAGCTAGGGAAGAAAGTTGTGCGCTCTACCTGATTTCGTTCTCCTACCTCAAAATAGTGCTTCAGTGTCTCGGGCTTAGGGGTGGAACCAGGCTAGTCCGAGTTGAGCGGTCCCGATTCTAAATAATTAAAGCCCAATGCTGACCCGATTTGGTTCGATACCGGTTCCAGTCTAGCTCCAAACAATACAGGTCTCGGGTCGCATCCCAAAATTCAAGCCCAAAGCTTGTCCATATTCAACCACGATCCGACTACTGGCCCGGTATCGGTACTAGAAAACCGGGCCCAACCGGTACTAAACAGTACCAGTATCGGGTCGATCCCAGGCCGGACCACCCGGACCCAGTACACCCCTACTCTGGCCAAGTGTGCGTCCATCAATCAAAATTATCTCGGAAATCTGCACTCTATCGCCTATCTTTCGGTTCGTATATCGTGGGAGCAGCCCACCGTGAGTGTGCTGCTCCCACAGCCAAAAACGTGTGTTACTATTCACGCGGATGAGCAATACTTTTTTTTCATTGTCCAGTAGCAGGGGGTATAACTCGCGTGTAAAAGAATGTAACTCACGTTGACATGAAATGTAACTCAGGCGAGTAAAAATGTAAATTTTCTAATACGAAATATAAGAAATAAAACATTGATTTCAATGTAAACAATGAAAGAGTAATCTAATTGTTCAATTACATTACGTAAATAGTGAATATGTTTTGCTTTTAATATTAAGGTCATAAAAATGAAATAAAAAACATTTTTTTGCCAAAAAACATTTTTTGCCAAAAAAACTCATTTTTTTGCCAAAAATTATTTTTTAAAATTTCAATAGGAGAAGGCTATTTTGTTATGTAATTCGTGTTATGGAAAATGTAACTCGCGTTAATGAAAAAATTAACTTAAGTGAATGCAAAATGTGACTTGTTAAGATAAGCCCAAATGTAACTCACGCATAGGAAGATGTAAATCACACATAAAAACAGATAACTCGTGCATAACAATATGTAACTTCATATACTATCAAATGTAAACAATTAAAACAATGAGTCTAATTGTTCAATTATTTTATGTAAATAGTGAGTATGTTATGTTTTTAATATTTAAGGACATAAAAATGTGTTTTTAAAAAAAACTATTTTTTGTCAAAAATACATGTTTTTCTCAAAAATTATTTTTTTCAAAAAAACATTTTTTGTCAAAAAAATGTTTGTCACAAAAAAAAATTAATTTTTTTTAACAAATCTATTTTTTTTGTTTCAACAACAAGAGTTTATTTTGTAATGTAATTCATGTTATGGAAAATATAACTCACATTGATGAAAAATTTAACTTAAATGTATGTAAAATGTAACTTGTTGAGACAAGTCAAATGTAACTCGTGCATAGGAAAATGTAAGTCATTCATAAAAAGATGTAACTCGTGCACAAGAAGATGTAACTGCATATACTATCAAATGTAACTTTAGAAAGTGTCTATAAACTTAAGTCACACATGAAAAATGTAATCTCACGTTTTATCAAATTTTAATTGAAATAAACAAACTTGGATCTTAAAAATATTACAAACATATAAATCAGATGAGAAATATATTATAGAAAAAAGTGTTTGAAAAATGAAAAATATTTACCAAAAAAGTGTATAAATGTAAAAAAAATATAACACAAAAAGTAAATTTAGTAGTAATTTCAATTGAAGAAAAAAAAGTAATCATATTAGTATATAATTATGAAATACAATATACTTATTCTATGTG